GGGTGGGGTCAGCAGAGCTCATTAGCATTTAAAGGAACATGGACTAAAATGGCTTGCTGAAAACAGAGCTGATTTTAACAGGGTAAAAAGGGTGTTTTTTACACTACCATTGAGAAATTTTAACCAAAGTATGTTATAGACTTTTCATTAAGACCCTAAAGAATCATATCAGCTTGTGGAAAATGGGCATCCGTTGACCCCTTTAATAGAAAAAACAAATACATTTTATGACCACTTACACAAGCATGGTGTTTTTATAGTGCTTTTAAAGCTGCAGTATGTTCACTACCATTAAAACGTTTAGGGTTGGTAAGTTTTGTAAAGATTTTGAAAGAAGTCTCTTATGCTCACTAAGGCTGATCAAAAATATATTGAAAACAGTAATGTTCTGAAATATTATTACAAATGAAAATAACTTTTTAAATATATTTTAACATGCAATTTATTCCTGTGATGGAAGTCCAGTCTTTAGTGTCACATGATCCTTTAGAAATCATTCTTATATGCTGATTTGATGCTCAAGATTAAAGTCTGTGTGCATTGAATTTATTTAATACACGAGTTTCACAATTTGAGTTGAATTACTGAAATAAATGAACTAGTCCACGACATTCTAATTTATTGAGATGCACCTGTATTATCAATGTTGAAACAAATCTGCCACTTAATATTGTTGTGGAAATTATTACACATTGATCAATTTATTCATCCTTGCTGAATGAAAGTATTATTTTCTTTAAAAGAAAATCTTACTGAGCTTTTGAAAAGTAGTATATGTGGCCAATGTGCACAAATTTATTGATGCATTCTGGCACAGGGTTTAAGAACTTACCTGTTGACTCAAAGCTTGGCAGTCCTGGATGGCTGAATTCACCTGCTTGGAGAACGCTTGATCTCCGGGATGTTCACCATCCTGCTGCCCAAACAGGTGAAGAGCTCCCAAAGCCTTCAGCTCAGAGGACTTCACCTGCAGCCTGTCCTCTGTCTCCTGCAATGAAGCAATGTCCAAGTTTTCTGGTATCAGTATATACTTCTGGTAACCTTTTCAAAAGCACTCCTTTGACTCACTCTCACACCCACAAATAACAACTGCAACATAAAATCTTCAAGCTAGCTGTGAGACATGAGACTCACCTCACACTTCTGTAATGTTTGCTCAATATGCGAGCAGCTCTCTGGTCGCCAGCTGTTTTTCACCCATTCAATACATTGAGAGATCCAGCTGTGCATACAGCGCAAACGCTTTTCTCTGTTCGTGCAGGCCTGCCATTGGTCCTCAACATCATGTATCTAGAGACAGAAGAACTCGTCACATTTCAAATACGATGGCTTTGGCAGGTTATACAGGGTTATACTTCCACACTCACCTTGCTGTCAATTTTGGCCTGTAGAATAAGCCAACTCCGATTGAGAGCTCCCAGTTGCTCTGCAAACAGGATGTGCTCATTGCGATTGGTGGGTTCATTCACTGATCCCGCCCCCTCCACAGACTGATGGTTCAGAAAGTCAACGTACGGCTGATGACTGGTTATTTCAGCCTTAAGATCCTAATATATAAAAATACAAGTGTGGAATGACATGTTCATGTTTTCTAGGATTTTTTTTTAAAGAAATTAATACTTTCATTCAGCATAGACGCATTCAGTTGGTCAAAAGTGACAGTAAAGACATTTCTAATGTTACAAAAGATTTCTATTGTAAATAAATGCTGTTCTTTTGAACTTCCTATTGCTCAAAGAATCCGTAAAAATGTATCAAAGTTTACACAAAAATATTAGGCAGCACAACTATTTAACACCGAAAACAATAAGAAATGTTTCTTGAGCACCAAAATCAGCATATGTGACCCTGGACTACAAAACCTGTCAAAAGGGTCAATTTTTTGAAATTGAGATTTATACATCATCTCAAAGCTGAATAAATAAGCTTTCCATTTATGTATGCTTTGTTAGGATAGGACGATATTTGGCCGAGATACAACTATTTGAAAATCTGGAATCTGAGGGTGCAACAAAATCAAAATATTGAGAAAATCACCTTTAAAACTGTCCAAATTAAGTTCTTAGCCATGCATATTACTAATCAAAAAATACGTTTTGATATATTAACAGTAGATAATTTACAAAATATCTTCATGGAACATGATCTTTACTTAATATCCTAATGATTTTTGGCATAAAAGAAAAATTTATCATTTTGACCCACACAATGTATTTTTGACTATTGCTACAAATACTGTATACCTGTGCGACTTAAGACTGGTTTTGTGGTCCAGGGTCACATATTAGGATCATGTGACATTGAAGTCTGGAGTAATGATGCTGAAAATTCAGCTTTGCCTTCACAGGAATAAAGTGCATTTTAAATATATTTAAATTGAAAACAGTTATTTTTAATTAATAATAGTAATATAGTATTATATAATATAGTATAATATAGTAGCAATTAATAGTAAAAATATTCCACAATATTATGATTTTTACTGTATTTTTGATTAAATAAATGCAGCCTTGGTGAACATGAGAACAAAACGGCGAACCAAACAAGGTTTTCCATTTATACCCTGAAATAATTAGAAACCAGAAAATCAAAAGAATTAAAAGTGTACAGTAGGTGTACTACCTTCAAAGCCTGTAGATGTCTAGACAGCTCAGAGGAACCGGGGGCACAATGGACCCCCGAGATTTCATCTTCCAGTCGTCCCTCTACATTTTTGAGCCAGGAGGTCAAACTGGCCAAGATCTGACTGTGAGACTGGTTTGTCAACAGCTAGAAGGAGGGCAAGAGGATGCTTACTTAAATAATATCTGTTTGCCAGAGCTTTTCTTCAGATGGATGAGGGAGAAGATAGAGGGAGAGAGAAAAACAGAAAGAAACTTAGAGAGAGACATTAGTCGTACTTGTTGCTGTGTCTGGTGGAGAGTGGGCAGGACGTTAGTCAAGTTCGTCCATTCCTGCTCAAGTTGAGCCAGTCGTCTGCGTAGACCTGGAGCTTCACTGTCAGTCAGCTGCAGTATCTGTGCACCTGAAAGTTCTGCAGAAGCTTTCTGTGCTGAACGGCCCTCCAGCTCCTTGAAGAACTCCTGCAACACACAAACAAAGCCACATTCCTATTTTGTCATTTTAGGTATACGTTACATTTGTGTAAAAAAAAAAAAAATCAAATTATACTCACCATGAGTTGGGTAAAGACTGTTCTGGAGTCCAAGAGACCAGAATCAGAGAAACTGTTCCACTTCTGAACCTGTTCTTGAGCATGACGCATCCATTCTTTTAGTTCTGTTGAGTCACGCTGGAACCTACACATTCAAACGCACAAAAGCACACACCTTTATTTGTTACCTATTTATTTGTTCATACCTTACCTCCAACAAAAAGGCATTAAAAATTATTATTTGGTTACTGATTTCTCACACCTGTCATAATTCTTTCTGATCTTCTGTGTAGACTGTATCTTCTGCTGTATTTGATTATGAAGCTCCATCCAGCGTAACAACAGTTGTGATTTTGGGACAGTCTGGCCAGGCCGCTCAGGGTAACAACCCTTTTTCTGTAGGATCCTGGGTCGGTCTTGGACCTCCCACACCTGAGGCCTTGTGTCTTCCAGGACCTTGTGCAATCTCTGACAATGAGAGAAAGTGGAAAAGAAAAGTTTGCAGGTTCAATTTTAACACTTAGGCCTAAAACATCATATTATAACAAACATGCTATAGACATGTTATAACAAACACTAAGCTATGTATAAAAAGTATTTACATTATTTATTGCCATTTTTAAAAGTCATTTAATATCAAAACCTTATTATGTGCTTTTAAATAGACAGGAAGTTTAAATGCTTCAAATGGCATATAACATAACATAACATAACATATGAATCGCATTGCAATATGTTATATATTAATGTTATATTTGCTCAGTTATTCAAAACTTGTGATTAAGTGGTACACAGATATATGAATATGGTCAGCTGAAGTACTGCAGTCAGAGACCGCAAACTTTGGGAATCGCTGTTTTAACTCATCTCATCATCCCACCTCCTCCTCATCTCTCTCAGCTTCAACTGCTTGCTCAGATGGAGTGGCTTGTGAGGATGGGAGTGAGTTCGATGTACATCTATTACAGACACAAAAGGGGTAATTTGCTGTTCCTCCTATATCAATCCACCGGAGTAATGAGCTTTGGTAAACATAAAGAGAAAAATAATATGAACGCAACCAACAGTATGCTACTGACTGTTCCGTGTGAGTCAGTGTAGTTGAGAAATTAGCTTTCGTAATAGTGAAGGGGAAAAATAATAAGAGAGCGGCCAATGCAGGCTTCAGAACATGAAGTTCCACAGATATGGCAACTATCGCTCCGAGTAATTTAATCAGGAACATCATGTGCTGGACCAAAAAATATTCTCATGCAACATAAAACCAAAGAAAAGAGAAGACCTTCTCCCTTAATTTCGCCCCCCTCTCACACTCCTACATGTCTCAGACACATTACTTTTGCTGCTTAGTTGGTTCCCAACCAAATAACTAATACTGGCAGGAGTCCTCTATCACTAAGGCAATAATGTGCTCAGCAAAAAAAAAAAAAAACAAATGCAGTAAAATCCCACAACTTCTACAGGTATGTGATTTAATAATTCAGACAAGAAATTGGTTTTTTTTTTTTAATGTATTCTTTACAACGCAACCTGGGGCAGTGTAGCGAAAAAAATAAGTTTCCTAATCTGCAATCGTCTTCTTTTTTCAGTAAAATATATATATTTTTAAAAGTATATTTTTCAACAAGAATAAATGTACATATTTATTCTTCTTCATTCCCAAATAAATATACAATACAATTAAAAATTTTGGGGTTGGTATGATTTTTTTAAAGAAGTGTCTTATGCTCACCAAGTGTCCATTTAGTTGATTAAAAATATAGTAAATATTGAAACAATTTTACATTGTGAAATAACTGTTTTCTATTTAAATATATCTTAAAATATAATTATTCCTATAATGGCAAAGCTGAAGTTTTAACAGCCATTACTCCAGACTTCAGAGTCACATGATCCTTCAAATCATTGTAATATGCTGATTTGGTGCTTAAGAAACATTTGAAGGGTTGAAAAACAGCTGTGCTTAATAGCTTTGTCAAAAAATTTGATATTTTAAATATTTTACGGTCACTTTTGATCAGTTTAATTTCTTCTTGCCAAATGAAAGTATTAATTTATATCAAGGAAGAATTTGTGAATGCTAGTGTATAAAAATATATTGTTCTTTATAATACCTGTTATTTCTTGAGCATAAACCTCACTAAAATATACACCCCTTATGCAATTTTGCTTAATTTGAAACTTAATTTTTTAGATATTTAAACTGTGAAACAAGACAAGAACTTAAAGGGTGGAATTTGATTCTGTCATTCCCATCAACTATCAAACTATCAAAGGAGGCCTATACTCAAAGGAGGTCAAAGAAAGGCAGCCATTAGCGTTCCCAGGGATGCAGGGAAACAAACCTCATAGGACTGCAGGTCTCCCTCTGGCTCTGAATCCAGACTGGACATGTTTGTCCCCATCTCATCCAACTGCTTATGCAGTCTCTCAGTGACCTCCTCGTACCGAGACCACTCCTATAACACACATACAGAGCGATGAGAGAGCTTCTGTTGCTCATTTCTCTTAATACATTTTATACATGGCATTTACTCCTAGAAAATCTTGGTTTATTAAATTAGAACTAAATTCAGACAGATAATGAGAAATTGTTATGCATTGTAAAAGACTGATATAACATTAAGGTCTGAATAAGTTAATTTCATTATACCTCTAAGCAGTGCTGCATTTGGACACCATGAGTTTGTGCTTGATCCTGTAGATCTGATATTAACTGCTCCACCTCTGCATAGCCCTGCAGTGACCCCTCTGGCAGCTTCTGGTATAGCAGCTTGACCATTACAAGGTCCTGACCCAAATCTTGGAAGTATTTCTGTTAACAGTCAATTCCAAATATTATTAGTGTTTTAAGCAGACAAAACACGCATTATTATTATTATTATTTGAATAATAATATAATTACTAAGTTGATCAGCTGTGTACCTTGTGTTCTGTGAGCAGACTGTGCAGCTGACTGCAGTTTTGTGGCTGCGCATTCTGACTGCGCAGCAGCCGCTCAGAGCCCAGCTCCAGGAGACCCCGCAGACCCTTCAGAAGAGCTCCAGAACATCTCTGGAGCTCAAGATTATTCTGTCCCGCCGATCTCCGCCACTCAAGTGCCAAAGTCCATGTGCCGCCTTGCAGACTCTTACAGAGCAAACACTCACATTAGATCAGAACTTGAAGTTACTGACCAGTTCTACCTTAGCAACTGTTGCCGTCTACCCTTTTATCAGACATCTTTACACACTTTTCTAAAGTATGTTTGTGTGCATTAGGAAAGTTTTAAAACTTAATAAAAAAAAAAAAATACAGTAAAACGTTGCATGGTCACTTATTATAGTGACAACAGGTACCCAGAGAAGCTAAAATCAATACTTATTTATTTATTTTGAAAATATTAAATAATTCTTAAAAACTCATGCTGTGGATTAACTCCATATAAATGTCATTTACATATTGATGAGGGTTAGGTTTTTCCCCCTAAAAGTTTTGTTTTATTCTGTAGACTTTGCAAGTGAATTGGTAATACCTTGATGCTTGAAAGGTCCTTGAGGAGTTTAGTTGAGTCTTCCATCTGTGATTCACAGGCATTCAACGCAGACACCGGAATCTCTAACAGATGCTGTCTCGTCTTTATAGGCAGGAAATAAAAAGATGCAGAAAGGCAGAATCAGCCTCTGCGAAATGTATTCTGTCAGCCACTTCTCTACATTTTTTTAGATATGAATATAACCTTGTATTTTTAGTAAATTTTGCCCAAACTGCAGATTAACTGCTTTACATCTTGTCCCTTCTTAGTTATTATAACTATACTACCATTCAAAAATTTGAGGCCATTGAGATTTTTTTTTAAAGAAATTAATGATTTTATTCAGAAAGCATGCATTTTGTTGCTCAAAAGTGACACTATAGATATTTATATTTTAATTTTAAATTTTCAAGTAAATACTACACTGACAATAATAACAAATTTCTCAAGCACCAAATCAGCATAATGGCAAGATTTCTCAAGGATCATGTAACCCTGAAGACTGGAGTAATGACTGCTGAAAATTCAGCTTTGCCATCAGAGGAATAAATTACATTTTAATATTTATTAACATAAAAATATCATTTTAAATGGTAATATTTCACAATATTAAACAAATGCAGCCTTGGTGAGCATAAGAGACTTATTTCAAAACATTTTAAAAATCCTAACTTTTAAACAGTAGTGTAAATGTTACAAATTGATGGATCTAGAATTCTTGTTAGATCTTTTAAGGTGATGCAGACATGTCAGAGCTTGTTCACCCTCAGGGTAGTTCTTTGGTTTTAGTAAGCATGTTTGCAGGGCTGAAACTGACCTCTAAAGAACTGACATCCTGACATGAGGTGAGAAGTTGGACTAAACTCAGTTGATCTTCACCTCCTCCTTCAGACTGTGACAGATCACTGATAGTTGCTGTGTGCTGAATTGTGTGATCCTGAGACTGGCTGCTGCTCTGGTGAACCATGGCCTCAATAACATCTCTCTGTATTTCCTAGAGAGTTGGAAGGGCAGTATTTAGTCATACAAAAAATACTTGAAATTAAACATGTCAGTTTACACCTAGATTTCACATAGAATTACCAATGTTGTATCTTCCTGTGGCACACATCCTGTATGCTGGGAGGAGAGCATAAGAGGAGCTGTGGCGTCGATGGATTTAGTCTCTGTCTGGGTCCGATCACCATCAGTAACATTTATTGCCTCTGTGTCACGTGGCTTTGGGCTTGTTGTTTTCACTTGATCACTTGTACCCGTTTCTGTGTTTACAGATACTTCATTCTGATCTACAGATTCATTGGCATCACTTGCTTTTAACATGGTGGTTTCTGAGCATATTTCTGGCTTTGCTGGAACTGCTTCAGTGCACTCATTTTGCTTTTCCTCAGCTATATTTGCACTGTCAGGCTTCAGACAACTATCATTTGTTAATTCTTTCAAATGTTGGGATGCTAGTGCAGGTGGGGAACTTGTTTCTTCAGTAACTGGTCTGCTGACTATGCCAGGCATTTCAGAGAAGTCAGAAGGCTCCAGTAAACAACTTCCTGTGTCAGCGTCCTGAATTACATACTTGATTGCAGGAAAATCAACTTCTTCAGGAGATGATTCCTAAAGACAAAAACAAGCAGTAAGTCATTAGCAGCTGTGTAGTGATTTCACCATGGTTAAATAAGTATTTATGTATCTAAAACCACTTTAGCCACAGTAAATAACAAAATAATTATCCTGCCAAGTAATATACACTACCGTTCAAAAGGTTGGAGTCAAGGTTTTTTTTTTGTTTTTTTTTGAAAGAAATTAATACTTTTATTCAGCAAGCGTACATTAAACTGATCAAAAGTGACAGTAGAAACATTTATAATGTAAAAAAAAGATTTGTATTTCAAAAAAATGCTGTTCTTTAGAATTTTCTATTAATCAAAGAATCCTGAAAAAAAAAGTATTTAAGTTTTTACAAAAATATTAAGCAATATTAAACTATAAAATTTAACATTGCTAATAATAAGCAATGTTTCTTGAGCACCAAATCAGCCTATCAGAATGATTTCTGAAGGATCATGTGACACTGAAGACTGCTGAAAATTCAGCTTTGCCATCACAGGAATAAATTACATTTCAAAATATATTCAAATAGAAAACTTCTTTGAAAATTGTAATAATATTTCTGTTTTACAGTATTTTTATTCAAATAAATTGCAGTCTTGGTGAGCATAAGAGGCTACTTTCAAAAACATCAAAAAAATCTTACAGATCCCAAACTTTCGAATGAAATTCATTTTCTAACAGAAGGCTACTTGTGGTTGCCAAGCACCGTAGCAAATTTGAATATTAATACAGAATATAAAGTTAAGTGTGAATTTATTGGCATTTTACACCATGTTTGAGCAGGGCTCATCCAAACAGTCGGAACTATCTATTTCACAATGAGGAATGTGAGGAACAATGATAATGAATCATATTGCCTGCCATTAAAGAGAAAAAGTCAAATAACTCTGTTGGGGTCAGTCTTTACCTTAGTGACACAATCTCTTACAGCAGAGGCAGTGCCTGACTTAGTATCTTCCTCCTCTATTGTCTCATTTGGGTCCTGGTACAGAAAAAGGAAAAATGATTAGAGATGATGAAATGATTAGAAATGACTTGAGATGATGGTCCAGTGTATTAGAAGAATAGACTCCCTAAAGACAAATGAAGAAAGCAGCTGTTACTGAAAGAAGAAATTGAGTTATATTCGGCATTCTGCAATGAGTGCCGCATTAGTCCTCAGAAAAGAAAAGCAAAATAATTTGTTTGCAAAGCTGACTGAATTCTAAACATAAACAACAAAAATTACAAGACTAGTAAAAGCATCCATGACCAATTCCTGTGAAATTATAGAGAAAAGACCTAACCATTATCTAAAAATAAATAAATAAAATATAAATAAATATATATATATGGGGTCTGAATACTTTCCGTACCCACTGTGTGTGTGTGTGTGTGTATATATATAGATAGATAGATAGATATATAGATATATAGACATATAATTAGGTTTGTATTAATAGCTGCCTTTCATAAATATATATACATAAAAATATTAAACACATGCAAATGAACAGCCATAGCAAAGAGGTCCAGAGTTCAGAAATGTTCCCTTTTCAGGGTTTGGCAAAGCCTGGGAGATAAATTGGAGGTTTCGAGGGTTTTACCTCTGGAACACTGCTTGTAAGAGTTACTGAGGATGAAGACTGATTGTCTTCATCTTCCTCCTCCATGTAAGAGCCTTCCATGGAGACCTGCTTCACCAAGGCAAGGCAAGGCAAGTTTATTTATATAGCACATTTCATACACAATGGTAATTCAAAGTGCTTTACATAAAAGAAATAAAAATCACAACAATAAAACAAGGAATTTAAAAACTTTGAAAATGATTTAAAAATTGATTTAAGAGGTTTAAAATGAATTTAAAACAGTTAACAATAGAAAATGATTATACATAAAATATAGTGCAATCAGTTCGGA